CACATAAATTTAACAGAAAAAGTAATCTAAATTTTGAATTGATAGAAACATAGCCTTAATAATTTTGCCATTAATATGTTGCATAAACCATAATACGCTGAAATATAGTTAGATAGAGGTTTGGTTCATTTTCTTCTGTTCTTTGTAGGAGTAAAAAAAAGAAGAAGAAAAAGAGTAAATTATATCTAGATCGGTATCTATCAATATACGAAATCATGAGCAAAACTGAAAGGCATATACCAAAATATTAGATAAAGCTAAAATAATTCACTTTTTTTTTTTAATTTACTATTATTTGTTGCCATCCCGGTTACTTTACGTTGCTAGATTAAACAAAACATGTTTTTTTTTCCCTCATAAAAAGATTAACTACATCCAATGTCAATTGGCTTAATACTTTTGCTCGATGCCAACTTATGATAGTCAATGTTTACCAAAATCAAGAATTTGTTTCGCTCCTTAACCCTTTTAGGGGGCGTACATATTACTAAAATATCGATATTAGGTACCTTAGTACCTGCTAAAATCCCTCCTTTCAACCACAGTCGAAATTTAGGAACCTAACATAAACGGTTCTGGAGTTATACGAAGGACACAAGCACACATTTTTTCTTTTGCAGATAGAAACAGTTTGAACAACAATTCACTTTTCCAAGGATCAATAATTTAATTAGGATTTTTTTTGTGATAAAGAATAGAATTCCCTAAATAATAAAAATGAGTGTATTGGAAACCATTATTTTTTTGCCCAAAAAACAGATATTTAGTAAGTTGATGTTATTCAAAAAGGTACCACACTTTTAATTTCCTGTTGACATGACTTTTCCGGGAAGAGATTTTTTTTTTTTTTTCCTCACACAAGTGAGAGGGGAAAAAAAACTATCTCAGGCTAAAATAAAATACGAGTGATACCATGAAATACAAGTGACTTACAAGTGTGATTTACAAGATCAAATGATAGCATTCTAATGAAATTTCAACTTTTTTCACCAGATCGAGTTTAAAACACTGTTCGATTTCATTAACTTGAGCATGAAATGTCATTTAAATAAGGTGCAGTATAACCACTTCTGCCAATTCTTTATATGAACACAATACACAAAAGTCAGGATCCGAATGCACTAAGGATCGAATGATAAATAAAGCAATAAAAAATGGGGCTATTTTCGCATAATTAAATTTAAACTCCTAAATATTTATTTAGAAGGCACTATATTAAAACTTCGCAATTTTTTTAATAGCATTTTGACAAAAGATTAGCTTAGGTAACAGTAACAGGAAAAACAGTATAAGGGGCAGCTCAAATATTACTTTAGCGTGTTTTTAGCAATTTGGAACACTCCTTCCCTTTTGTAATCAAAAATAGCGAATCCCAAATGCTGACGTAATCACTTACGCTGACGTAAGACAATTTGGTTTATGCTTTAACTTTGACTTACTTCTACGATAACAACCTAATTTTAAGATTAAATTCAAATAAAAGATGCAACTTTACATAAAGCAAAATTTACGTTTGACTTCATTTCACAAAACTTAGAATAGAATATTCTTCAGAAATATTTATTTTCAGAAAACTTTAAAACTCCTTAATAAAAATTTTAAATTTTTCCTTCTCCGAATTCCACTTTTATTTCAAATTTTTCAACACTTCTTTTGCTAAATTTTTGAAAGGGTATTTTTAAATTAAGGGATTTAATGTTTTGCGCCAGCATTGCTCACACCCCTCCCTCCCCTTTATCAGCAAAACTAAGCGAATTCTAAATCCCCTTCCTCCCGATAATTGTTTACGTAATATTGGAACGGTCCCTGACAGGTAAAAAATGGCACTCAAGAAACAGTGAAGAATTAATATGACTCTCAAAGACAGTTTTTAACAAATTTAACTGTCAATCGATTTTAATTGTGCTTACACAAATTAAATGAATGATCAAAATAATAAAGTAAGCAAAATTAAAAAAAAATAATAATAATAAATAAACAAATGAATTGAAGTTTTAAAAAACAGTATACAAATAATATGATTAACATTGCTTAGTCTCGCTGTTTTAGTTATTGCAATCGCTTCCTAAACATCAGGAATCGGGGATTCCCTATCTGCACATTATGATAATATATTCATCACAGATTTAATACGCGGCGAAATATATTTCTTGTTAAAAAATTATATTTCTATTTGTTTTGATTTCATATAAATATAAATACTGCACTGATTATACACAATATTATGAACTTTAACACTTAAATTGCGTCACAAGAGCTTTATAAATAGTTAACATAATATTTGTTTAAAAATTGGAATAAAGAACTTTTTAATTCATTTTTATAAAAATCGCAGCGCATCGTAATAATTCTCTAAAATTTTGGGATTCTTTTGTCTACATTAAATCGTTAGAAAATTTCTGTCGCGAATGTGTTCTAACTTTCAACTTCGTGAGAAGGGGGCGGAGATAGCATAAAGAAGAGATGTGCAATCTAATGTTGCGTTAAGTTATGAAAGTTCCTTTTTTCATAAAAACAAAATAGGTTTATAATTCAGAGAAATATCATTAATTCATTTTTCTATTGATTTTTTGCAGTGGAAATCATTTTTATTTGATAGTTTAAATAAATTATCATGAAATATATTTATTATTATAATGTATCCAACGTTCTCAAATATTTTTTGAATCGCAAGTTTTCTTTGCTTTTTAAACTAATTTTTGATGAAATAAATTAAAAATATGCGCATATACAGTCTTAAAAAAGAATAGAGATTTATTTCTTATAACTTTTGTGAGTGTTACACAATATTCTAGGTTTTAGGTGCTCTTTTCGAGTGTACAAAATATGTTTTTGACAATCATGCTAAATAAATAAAGGCAAAAGAAGTGAAATTGTGCGAAAAAAATGATCAAAAGATATTTTTTACCGTAAATTAATTGAACCGAGAAAAAAAAAATGGCCAGAACTACCAGAATATTGTAAAATTTACAGTGTTTCTGGCTCGATGGAAACACCAAAAAGCTCGGTAATTTTTACCGAAGCGCTTTGGTAATAATTTTGGTAAAATTAACGATAAAATATAGTTTTATAATATATGTGATAAAATTTGGTAATTTTATCATGATACCTTAGAGCATGGCATAAAAACCATTTAATAGTTTAAATTTACTTTTCAGTTTTGTACTTGTTACTAAATATATGGTAATAGGAACTAAAACTATAAAATCTAGAATTTCCGGTGAATCATTACCATAAGAATAGAAAAATGACCATATGACAGGTTTAAATACTTTAGTTTTATTAACCAGAATTATGTTGTTGCTTTGTTGCCAGAAATGTTACTGCCATATTGTACGGCAGAGTTTCCCAAACTTATGACTTTTGTGTACCCTTTCTAAATTTTTCGTAACGCTTTGTACCACTAATAAAAAAATGAATGTATTTTTCACTATAAAACAATTGCACAAAAGTTAAAAAGCACAACTGGCTGTTGACACCACTAATTATTAACTGTTGACTCTGAGAAAAATAGCCAATAGAAAAATACGTAATCGTAAAGTTTCATGGCTAGCTTTGTTTTTAAATAAATTTTTTTGAGATTTTCTTTTGTTGCAAGATATTTCGCATAAGAACGCGTACCTTCTTTAAATTGTTCCCGTACCCCTGGGGGGTACGCGTACCACACTTTGGGAAACACTGTTGTACGGAAATTTTACCGGAATTTCTTCTCCGGTTAGAAATTTAATACTATTTGTTGTTACTTAATTTTTCATGCCGACCTCCTTTCGTATTATACACCTCATTATTCATTTTTTTTCCTTCAAATCTCTTACACTTGAAGAATTTCGTGCTGTTCGAAATTGCTTAAATTTACCACATGCGTCAATTCATATAAATTATTATAATTTTAGAACATTGTCGTTAGTTAAAAATAAGTTAAAAATAATGTATATGAGATATGATTTGTAAAAAATGTATCTGACGTTCCTAAAACTTCGTCGTTTGATGACGAATAACATAGATTATGGAAATGCAACATGTTAGACAGTATATTGTAACGAATTATAGTTACTGGATATAAGTATAACACACTGAGCTCTAATGAGCCATTATGCTAACATTAACTATACTAGATAAGAGAGTCATAACACAAAACATTCATATCACAATTCAAAAAATGAATGCATATTTCAATATTCAAATTTCATACTAGTAGCATATAAACTTCATTAAAGCAGAGCACAATGTTTAAAAACGCAAACATTGCAGTTAATAAAGACAGAGGATCAATATTATAAGAAGCATCATCATCACTCATCACTATGTTTCGCTTGCAATATAAAGAGCTTATCTAAACAGATATTTGCTATATTGGATAGCTTTCGTGCAAAAAATAAATAAAATAAAAAATACATTATTGTTTGCTTCATTGCATTAGGAAGACCTTTTAAAATAAAAAAATAATTGTCTATGTTCAGCGGTAAAAGCAAAAGTCGAGGTCTTTGGAGAGAGAACAAATTTAGAGGATTTCAAATATTGTCTGACTTATAAATCCTTTTCAGCAGAAAAAAGTGCATATGAAGAAAAGAATGTATAAATAATTATAGTAAAAGTCGTAAACTATTTATTTATTGCAGGAAAGTTCAATAAATGATGAAAAATTAATAACAATTCAATTAGTAAAATTGGTATTGTTTTTATTTTGCCTAAATAAATCTTAAATATGACTCTTGTATAGAATATTGAGTTACCTAAGTAAATCTAGAATAAGCTTCTCTTGTTATTCATTATAATAAAAAAGCAAAATTTAAATAATTATTTTAAAGGAAAAGCATTTCTTGCGATTTAATTTCAATGAACCAGTATTGTACAAATTTCTATAAAGAAATTGTTAAAATACTGATAATATATATCTTTATATAATATAAGATTTGTAGTTGTTTAGTAGTTCATTTACGTCGCATTAGAGCTGCACAATGGGCTATTGGCGACGGTCTGGGAAACATCTCTGAGGATGATATAAGAAGATATGATATATGATATGATATAAGAAGAGAGTGAAATGATAACACATGGCCAATCACAGAACACTTGAGGTTAGTAACGCACAAAACAGCCAATTAAAATTGAGAACGCATGTGTGTAAAAAGGTAATAATTTTTAATAATACTGCTTGCTAAAATGTTACAACTAAACTTACCATCTAAAGCTGAGTAGCGATTTTTATTTTATTTTGAGTTTGTCTAATACTGATGTCAGAGTTTTCCATTGTTGCCCGTGCATTTCTATTGGCCTGAAAATCACGAGGTAGGATCCAGTTTTTCCTCATTCATTTCTAATTGTTTTGGTTGTCATCGCCATAAAATTAACAAAAGTCGTAAAGGTATTGTTCTCCTTTAAATATTTTTATATCCTTAATTCAAAGTTATTTTCCAGTGCTGTTATTATTAGAGAAAATTTTAAATTATGGTTGTGAACTCATCAAATTTGTTTGAACAATATAATGTTATAAGAATATAAATGTTATTTTAAAAAATGATAACTTCGAAAAATCCCTTCTGTTCACCAAGAGATCTAAATGTTTATAATACTAATAGATAGTAATATTTGGAGGTGAGAAGTAGAGGCGCAAGAGTAAGCAAACAGAATTCCTTTTAGTATATATAGCTATGTTAAGTGAATAATTATTTTAATTTAAGTAGAAAAACTGCTTTCTGCCAAGAAAAAACAATTATTGCGAAGCAATCATCGGGGTTGGTAAGCGGTAGCGAACAGGGGGCTTAGCCCCCTAGTACATGCATAAAGAGAGGGCAATTGCATTTTATCTCCCCGTTGAAAATATTTGTTATTTCCTTTTATTTGCAAGTCAAAATAAATCAAGTTAGATTTTTTTTAAAACGAAAAACAAATGTTTTTGCAAATAAGATTTGTTTATGCAATCGNCCGTTTATATATATGGAGAGAGAGAATATATTTGTATAGATGTAATGCATGTATAAAAAAAGTGTAATAACATGACTTAAAATTGTTACTTTTATGGTACGACACTTGAAGGATTTTAAAATACGGCATTCGAGGCAAGTGTCCCCATTCGCGCATGCTACAATCAAACCCTATCAATGCTTGTGCCTGAATTATCTTTAAATGAAATGTGAATCGATAAAAAAAAGTTTTATTCATATTTATGAAAAGTCTAAAGCTGTATAACAAATTATGATTTATGATTGACCTGCACGTGACATGGCATTTATTTGGTTCTCTCTTATGATTAAGCTCTTTAAAAAGTTGTTAATTTAGGAAATTTTAAACGTTGTTTAGTTATTAAAATTAATGTGCATGTTTTCCATATTACTTGGTACTCTATATGTTAAGAAACTTTAAACGTTGTTAAGATATTAACATTAATTTGTAAGTATCCTACACTATTTGGTATTCTCTTATGATTAATTAAATTAGGAATTTAAAATGTTGTTAAATTATATTAACATTAACGTGTAAGTGCCCAATGCTACTTTATGGTTAGAAAAATAAAAAAAGTTGTTAATTGAAAAAAATTTAAACTTTGTTTACTTAATACATTTAAAAGCATTAAGTTAAAAGATTTAAAACTGTATTTAAATGAAATCTTTAAAAATATTGTGCTCAGAAATTTTAAATGTTCTTAAACTCTTAACTTTAATGTGCAAGTACTACTTGGAACTCTCTTATAAATTTGAAATTTAAAAAGTTGTTAATTTAAAAAAAATTAAACTTTAAGTAATTTAAAATGTTAATTGATAAATATTGTTTCATTTTTCAAATTAACGTGGAAAGTCAAAACAAAAATTAATGAAGTCATTCATTTAGTCACACATCCATTACGTCACAATGTATTCTTACATATTATTTTTTCAAAGTAAAACATTATTCTATAATTTGATGTTCGTTTCAATTCTTTTTAATGGATTACAAAAATGGATTTTTTATTTTTATTTTCTAACAATTAACTCATTTTAATTGTTAGAATGAAATAATTTACATAATGAGAAAGAACGCTGCATATCAATATCTATAAATCACTTAAATATTTTATGCATTGTATTTTTGAGCCAAAGGGGAGAAACTAGTATATTCTTTAAAAAAAACTTAACAAAAATAATCTTCAAGATGGTAGTTTATTACATTTTGCCGTCGGATCATCTTTTGTGCATATTTTTACAAAGCATTTATTCTCGGCTCTAAGAAAGATTAGGTGCTTTTATTTTCGTACAAAGAAAAAAAAATTCTGGTAAAACTACCGTATATGGTAATGACATTTCTGGTAAAAATCCAGTTAACATAATCCAGTAAACAAATCCAAAATATAGGGTATTCAAATCATTCATTTGGTTATTTTCCCAATATTATTTTAACGGTTTACCGTAAATTATGATTTTCTAAATTACAGTTCATGTTTCTTATTTAGTAAAAAATACGAAATTTAAAAGTAAATTTAACCAAATAAATGGTTTCGATGCCATGTTCTAAGGCATCGTTAGAAAATGATCAAGTTTTATAACATTTACCCATTTTTATCATATAATATAAAACTGTATTTTATTGCTAATTTTACCAAAATCATTACCAAAACACTTCGATAAAAATTACCGAGTTTTAACGTGTTCCCATAGAGACAAAAACACGGTAAATTTTACCACATTAATACTAGTTTTGACCATACTTTTTTTAGCAGTGTAAAAGTATAAACAATTCGTAAAGTCGTTCATAAATTGAACTGTACAACATGACACAAATGATAAAATTAAAAATGAAGCACAAAACTCATAGAAATGCATAGTAATTAAAAAAAATGTTCATTAAGGTGCTTAACGTGACACACATGATAAAAATTAAGAACTGTGAGTTGTGCGATGCTCCTAAAAGTGTAAAAGATTTGAAATAATGATTTAAATTGTATCAATATGAGTCGTATGGTAAGATTAAATTGCTATGAATAGTACTGAACTCCAAGCAGAGTAAAAGATTTAAAAAATGCTTTTGAGATATTGATTTTGAATTCAATCAAAATTCGAATCAAAATTTTGAATCAAAATTCGGTTACATTCTTTAACAGGAATCGTAAAAAGCAAATTCCGTTTGAGGTATCAGGAACTTTTGTCCTGAAAAAGATATATCTAAGTTTGTATTTATGAAATTTCTGTATAAAAATGAAAAGTTTAAATGAAACATATTAAATCCAATACTCATAAAAGAGATTGTTAAAAGAAAGAAGAAAAAGATCTTTAGAAAGTAAAACCGAGTAATCAGTTCTAATTAAAGACAAATGAAAAAATATTGTTATTGATAATTAGCAACTGTTGATACGAAAAAGTACTATTTGCATATGAATTTTAAGTAAAAGAGTTCCAAAAGCAGTCTGTACCAACTAAATGTATGAAAAAGTACTAATCGTAGTCAGGGGCTTCTAGAAATTTCCCTGAGAAATCCCAAAAGTTACATAAAAGTTGCCAGCAATGCTGTATTCAACTTTAATAATCAAATATGGTTTCTTAAGAAAAAGAAATCGAAAGCAATAGAAATCGTAAGCAAATAAAACTAATTCCTCAACTAGCATTAGCAGTACCAACAATCGATATATGAAAAGGTACTGCTGCTAATAATTCACAATTATTGGTACAAAAAAAGCCGTTTTTGTAATCAATACCAAGAGAAAGAGTTCCATTAGTAGTCCGTACCAACTATTATGAAAATGTACTATTTGATAGTTAGTTTTTCACAAATTATCATGGGAAATCCCAAAAGTTATATAACAACGCTATATTCAAGTTAAATTTGATTATCAAACATGGGTTTTTAAGAAAAAGAAATTGTAAGCAAATAAAATTGATTCCCAACTACCATGATATATGAAAAAGTACTGCTCACTATTACTGGTACAAAAAAGCAATTTTTGTAATCAATACCAAAAGAAAGAATTCCATTAGTAGTTTGAACCAACTATATTATGAAAAGGTAATATTTGGTAGTCAGTGCTTCAAAAATTATCCTGAGAAATCCTAAAAGTTATATAACAAAGCAATATTCAATTTAAATTTGACAATCAAATATGGTTTTTTAAGAAAAAGATATCGAAAGCTAATAAAAACTATCAGAAGTCAGTACCAACTATCGATGTATGAAGAAGCTACTAATAATAACTGCTAATAATAGTTCCAGACGTAGTCTGTGCCAACTATTGTGAAAAGGCACTATTAGGTAGTCAGTAGTTTCAAGAAATTTCTCAGGGAAATCCCGGAAGTTACACAAAAGTTGTTAAAAATACTACATTCAACTTGGTTTTGATAAAAAGAATATACGTATTTTTAATTACCTTATTAATTTTCTAACAGCGAAAAGATTTTATTATAAAGCCATTATCAATTAATTTCCATAGGAATAGTTCTAGATAGTGCATGAATACTGAAAAATACAAATTACAAATGCTTCTTTTCTCGTCGTTATTAGGAATTGAAAATTTTTAATTATTTTTTAAAAGAAAAAAAAACTTAAAGTCGCTACATTTTCATAGTAATATTAATAAGAAACATTTTTTTTTAAAGATTTAAGGAAGATTAGCGACCTACTCTTAATTAAAAACGAGAAAAAGAAAAGTGAAAAAATAGCAACAAAGACACATTTTTTCTTTCTTTCTTCTAACTTGAAGACATACACAGAAGTGGAATTATATCATGTGGGAAATAATGCGAAGAAAGAGCATTTGGCTCAATCCCGATCGAATTGAAAAAGAGAAAGAAAAAAAAAATGTTTAAAAATACGAAAGATGAAAATTTTATATTTTCATTCAGGTGTTGGCGTTCCACATCCAAGTTCCACAAAGAATAATAATGGTTAATAATTCGAAAAATACAAGCGCAGAATAATAATGAGCTTAGCAATTGTATTTCTGATGATAGGAAAAATAGAATAAATGTTATTAATATGTTATTAGGAGTAAGGAAACGTATTAAATTAATTTCTTATTACTATGTAATTAATACTACTGTCTTACACAATGCCAAAGGCTGGGGAGTTTGTATTTTTGAAGCTTTAATTAATACTGTAAAAAATATTAGGTTCATGAAATTTTTTTATTCGAATACTCAAGAACAGTACATAAATAACGTTGAATTAAAAACCTAATTTTTACCTAAAATTGATTAGGGAAAACCTCACTATATGAAAAACATGATTTAATTTTGATGATGAAATGTTTTATTGGGAAAAGAACTGAAAAACAAAAATTTTTACAGTTGTATTTATTGCACTAATTTCTATTCTAAATAAACAAAATTATAAAATAAATTTTAAAAAATAATAATTGTAAAATTTAATTTTTATTATTGACTACTTTTTAATTCTTTTTATTGATTTCTGCAAAAAAATTTACATGCTTTAGGTTTATTTAAAATCTAAATTAGAGTCTGTATTGCGTAGAAAGTTCTTCTCCCTGCAGTATACAGATCTAATTCAGAACTTAAGTAACTTCTACAATATTAGATTCTTAAAAAAAGAGAGAGAGAAAGTGAGAATGAAACTAGAATCAATGACAGAACTTTCGTGCAAAAGTTTATTTAATTATTATTAATTAGTTAATAATATACGCATTTATTTTAACCAATGATATTACAAGATCATATGAAATCTCAAATCAACTCATATTTTGAGTGGTGAACAATTTATTAATTTTTTTTAAATCGTTTAACTTGAACTATTAAAAATACCCAACTAATAGTTTCAATAATATTACATTTCAAATTTATATTTTCAAAAGTTTGCTCAATTTTAGGTAATGCAAACAAAGTAACTGTTGAATGTAAGAAAAATTCTCAATTAATAGTTCATATGTAAAACTGAATTAAAATAAAATCTATATTTAAAATATATATTTATTTAAATATTTATATATAATTTTTTTTTATTTATTTAAATATTTATATATATTTAAAATATATATTTATAAAATATTTATTTATTTATTATATGTATATTTAAAATATAATTTTTCTCACACTACATTTAATTTCACAAAATATGAATGTCTTTCTGCGTCATATTTGATTAAAATAAAATGCTAAACAGTTTAAAAAGAGGCACGGTTTTTTATTTTATTTTATTTTATTTATTTATTTAATTTTTTTATATGAATAGCGTGTTTTTAAATTTTTATTTGGATTAAGGTTTGACACAGAGTAAGCATCTAAAACTAGGTAAAACTTTCAGATGTAAAGGTATACTTAAACCTATGTCGATGCATATTTAACACATCAAATTCAATAAATTAAATGAATGAATATCTGCCATTAAATTAAAAATAAAATTGAAGAAAAGAAAACAAAAATTATATTCATATTATTTTATTTCATTTGAGAGCTCAATAGGAATTTTTAAGAAGATTCAATAAAATCAAAAATTTAATGCAAAATTGTAGTATTACTTTGCCTAAATATTTAAAAAAAATTAAAAAAAAAAAACATTAAATCTTTAGTTTCGTTGTTATAATTGTATTTATTTATTTGTAAATTGAAAGTCTTACAACTGAATAAAATCCAGATTATAATATTGGATTAATGTATAAGCAGTATTGTCCATAGACTTAATTTTTTTCTTAAAAAAAAAAATAAATAAAAGAAAGAACATAAATTTTGAATAATTATTAGAATATTTAAAAATTCCTGTTTTTTTTTTCTTAAAAAAAATAAATATAAAAAAAGAACATAAATTTTGAATAATTAATAAAATATTTAAAAATTCCTGTTTTTTTTTTTTTTTTTNGGGTTTTAAGGAAATTATAAACTTTAGAGCTTCAAGCAGATCTTGTTGTTCTTCGTATTTTATAGTAAGTATACTTCATTATTTTTTAATTTTATAAGTAAACTAATTTTATTAGTATATTCATGTACTGAAAGTTTTTGATTCTAAGATATTTTCTTTCTAAAATATAAATCATAAAAAAGTAGTATTTAAATGACAAATACGTAGTAGTAATTGCACGTAGTATATATTAGTAGCATAATATTAGTATTATATTAGTAGCATATTACACTACGTGCAATATGCTATTAAAAATGAGAATAATATGTACACCAATACATAAATACGGTTCTAAGTTTTTGACATGACTGACAAGGTTAAAAACAAAAAAAAATTGACATGAGTCAAACTGGTATTTTTAACCAAATTAAGATAGGTTATAAGATCTCAGAAATAAAACTCTCATTTTTGACGATTCAGCAATCCGTGAGCAATATTTCGTTAATTTTGAAAATCATTCCGTTACGAAATCACGGGAGTGACGAAACGTGAACTCTCAAATGTATGAAGAAAATATTTCTTCGACACGAAACGTCATTGTATCAGATTGTTAATTAGAATGACTAAACTGAAATAAATACTAGACTTTCGAAAAAAAAACTGGCTGCTTGCTTGGTGGTCAAAGAGTTGACCTTGTACCAGAAAGATCCGGGGTTCGAATCCCACATGGTGTAATTTATGTATCTGTCGTACCGACCATATGGTGCCCTCGTTAAAGGATTATTGACAAGCTTATTTATTTTGGAAAAAAATAGAATGATGAAATATTTTTTCGTTAATTGTGTCGAAATTCGTTTTCTCGAAGAAGTAAAGATTGTTATTTCGTCAATTTGATAAAATAACCATCGTTGCTCGGAGCATATACCAGAAAATGGTTTCGTTAAAAACGAAGAAAAAATCGTGATAATTAAGTATTTATTTTTTACAGTATATCAAGATATTTTTCAGATAATTAACTATTTTACAACAATAGTTTATAAAATTTGACTTCAAATTAAATGCAGCCTTAAAATTAATTAATAGTCTCAAAATTAAGTCAATGCAAACATATTTCTAATGATTCTTTTAAATGTAGACCTTTTTAAGGTATAGCATAACACTACGGAGTTTACTTTATACTTTAACAAAACCTTCACTTTAACACATGAGGCAATTTGGAATAACGTACTAGAAAAGTAAACTTTGACCTATGCGTCTTTCAGATGCACACTCGGATTTCTCCAAAAAGTTGGGAAATGAATTTGAGTTCTAAACAAATTTTTTAAAGCGTTTGAATAAAAGAAACCATGGCAAATTCGATCAATTTTAAGCGTTCACTTTATGCTGCGAAACCGGCCAAATCAAGGTGAGATGCAAAACCAGCCATCTCTCCTTTATTCACCAAATGCCGCTTTTGATCAAGATTTCGAAAAAATGCTCGTTGTTAAGCGTTAGTGTGTCTTCGCCTGTGACCATACACTAAAAAGCTTCTAATTGATTTTCATGATTATTTTTTTTCTCTTTCGACTATGAAAAAGTTTTTGCAGGCTGTGTTTTCTACTAAATCAAGAAAGAAGGAAAGTAATCCTCCGGTACTGAAAAAAAAAAGGCCTCAGTCTTCACTATGTAGTTAGTTTGCATTGATTACTTTTAGTCTCGGGTTTCGGTTTTTTAATCAAAATTTAAAGCAGTCAGACATTGTTTGAATATTTCATAATGATATATTTTAACCATCAGCAATTGATATTTCAGTAACATACTATCATGTTATGCAAGTAGCATATATTATCATATCATTTCGTTATTTATTTTAAAATTACAAAAATTCCATAACTTCTGAGCCACAACATTCAATATAATGAGTCTTGAGATTTTCAAGTGAGTCTTAAAGTGATTTCCAAAATAATCTTTCGGTAAGTCAATTATCTGAAGACCAACTCTTTTAACATGAAAGTAATTTCCAATTAGAGAATTTCAGTTAAATTATTATTTTAATTTCTGTTCAATACAATTTAGTCGAACCAAATATGTTTGCCTCCTTCCAAGCTCAAAATTCCAAAATTTACGTTGAATTTAACGAAATTCAAGTTATGGCTTGTAGAGAAACCAGCCAATTTCAAAACAAATAATTGAATAGGCCCCTCCTTCACGTGCCTCCTTGCATTCTTAATATAGTGCTTTGAAATCAAATCCATATGAACCAATTTCAACACATTTTTTATAGTATATGTGCAAGATACATATTCAGTATATGTTTCGCAGAGAAAAAAAATTCTAGTAAAATTACCGTACAGCATAGTAATGACATTTCTACTAAAATAAAATAAAAAAATTTATAATCCTGATATTATAAACTAAGATATACGGTATTTAAAATAATCAATTGTCAATTTTTCCGTTCATATAGTAACAGTTTTTACCGGAAATTCTGGTTTTCAAAATTATAGTGCTTAGTTTTATAAAAGATACAAAACTGAAAAATAAATTTAACAGTATAAATGGCTTTTACGCCATACTCCTAAGGGATTATTGTAAAATTACTAAATTTCACCACATTTACCAAATTTTATCCCACATTTTAAAACCAGATTTTATCTTTTATTTTACCAAAAATATTACCAAAGCGGTTCAGTAAATATTACCGAGATTTTTTTGTCTTCCCATAAGGCCAGAAACACGGTAAACTTTATTTTATTATTACGGTAAACTTTATTACAATAGAATATTATGATAGTTTTGGGCATACTTTTCTTTCTCAGTGTTCAACATTATGGAGCAACTTCCAGAAAAGCAACTTCCATATTTTAACTAGTGACACAACTAGTAAAGTCCGTCTTGACAAATTTTGTGTTTTGTAAAAAATTTGCCAACACAAACTTCAACATTGAAGAGCAACCAGCGAAGAAACGTTTACCATAATTGTTATACCAAATATAAATTTAGAGTTTACAAGAATATACATAATACATGAACAGTTAAGAATAAGAACCACAACAGCCAATTTTAACCCTTTGCTTAGGGTATACTATGTTGTACTATCACATGTGGTCCACATGTTGTACAAGCCGTAAGCGAAAGCTTAATATATTTTTTTTATCCTGTATGCGAAAATGTAGACAATTAATGAGTGTACATGTATCATTATGTAAAAACACCTAGGGAAGAATGTTTAAAAATCAGACCATTATTTTTTGCTGCTCCTAAGCACAAATAAAATAATAATTTGAAAAAATAAAAATGCTTAAAATTAATTGAAAGGTTTAATTGATTTGAACGATTTCGTCCAGGGCACTGAAAAAAAGGGATAAAAAAACCCGGAAGAAACTAGAAGAAATAGAAAAACTAGACACAATGAAAGAAACTAAATAAAACCGATACATGCTTAGTGATCATTATTAAAATAATAGTTCAAATTAAAAACAAATACAATTTTATATGGTGCAAAAAAGGTTAAATGTTTTTAACATTAATTTTTTTCAAAGTATTTTTATATTTCTTATAAATCACTTAAATAAATTAATATAAATTTATTACTTTGTACTTATGAAATAGTGCCGTTTTATCAACGATTTTGTTGGGAAACAAGATAATTTATGTGTTTTATAAATCTTAAATGCATATAATCTAAATAATACTTAGTATAATTTGCTCTATATTAATATAGTTATTTTACCAAAATCTCATTTAATCAGAAAAGAAGTACATAAGAATTTTAAAATATAAGTTTTTCATAATCTGATGCTTGTAAGTTAACGAAACAAAGCTATACAAGTAAAATCCAACAAGCCATTGCAAGGAGAGAAAAAATTCTGGAAAAATTACTGTACTTTATATAGTAATAACACTTCTATTGAAAAATAAATAAAAACTCTTGTTAATGAAATGAAAATATAAAGTATTTCAACCTTTCATTTAGTAATTATTCTGTTCGTATGGTTACAGTTCACCGAATATTCCGGTTTTCAAAATTATAATTCTTATTATCACACATTTAGTAAAAAATACAAAACTGAAAAAAAAATTGACTGAATAGATGTCTTTTATATAGGTATCATGATAAAATTACCAAATTTAATCACATATCATAAAACCATATTTTACTGATGATTTTATCAAAATCATCACTAAAGCGCTTTGGTTTATATTACCAAGCTTTTAAGTGTTCCCAAAGAACCAGAAAAACGGTAAATTTTACCATGTTCTGGTAGTCTCGATCCCATTTTTTTTCTCAGCGTGTAATGAAACTTTATGACAATAATAAAATTTGAAAGGAATTTATAATATAAGCTGATTTACTTAAAATGGTACTCTTTTAACAACAAGTTTCATCCGTCAGTGGTAAAAAGCTGAATTATTAATTATGAAAAAAAAATTTTAGATTCCTATGAAAAAAAATTTTGGTAAATTTCATGTACTAATTTCAAATTTTAACTTAATTAAGAAAATTGAAAAATATCTTGCTTGTTCGTTTTAAAGATTTTTTTTTAAGGAAACTTTTAAGAATAGAATAATATATATATATATATTAAAAGAAAAAAAAGATGTTTTTAGCTCTTTTACATCTAACGGCGTATTTTACATTCGCGTGTTTAATTGGTGCTTTTTACTTTAACGATAGGCCATAGTTTCTTTCCCTTAAATAGAATTTAATGTTAATTAGCTTTCTTAATTAATGTTATAGCTTTTTTAATGCAAGATTTTGAATTTTTTCATTGAATTTAATGTATTTTATGCTTCAAGACCAATTTTTTAGTTCACGCTAAGTTTTAATTTGTTATAATTTTTATTTAAACCTTGTATTCTTTTTCTCGGAAGAATTGATGTTCTTCAATGACGTTTTCAACGTTGTTTTTTTTATGTTATAATTTTATTACATTAAATATTCGATGTTTTTTTTAAGACTTTTGAATATTGTTTCATTGCAGATAAAACCCAAAAGATTCATGTGTGCAGACAAAGTTACGTATACAAAGTGATCACAAGTTTTTTTTAATTTTTTTTTTTAATTTTTTTTTTTTTTAAAAACTTAGATCTCAAATAACGTTCTTTTAAAACACTTTATAACCTTACTGTTTTTGATGACAAAAGATTTTAAAGAAGTGTGTTTATATCGGGAAAATAGCTGAATCACCTAACACCAAATGTTATGTGTTTAAAAATTAAAATAAAAGTATTATTCCATTTCTCTAGGTGAAAATATTATTCACGTTAGTCATGGTTAAATTACTGTCGTAATAAGTACAGCTCATATTATGATATTAGATACTTAATAATGGAATAACTTCATTAGCTTCCAACTGTTTTCAGGAGAAAAGGTAAGACATGATTCGAGCTTTCAAAACAAAGATGTCTTCCTTCGAGACTCAACAAACGAACACAATGTATTGATTAACTAATAATGTTTAAAAACAAAAATAAAATTTTTTTTAAGAAAAGCTATCCACAAAATTTTAAATTAATTCACCAAAATAAAAAAAAACTGATAATTAAACAATTTTAATGTGATTTTGATTTAAACGCTTTGACGTCCTAAATCAAATTTTGAACTATCTTCATCATGATTTGGCATATTTAGCTATCATATTTCCCAATGCTTTATGACTCATTTTCAATGTACGCTATCATGCATAGAAGAAATACATTATCTATGATATACTATATCCAAGGAATACTATATCTAATGTATACTATATACGTTATCATACATAAAAGAAAAGAGAAATTTTTACAAATATAAATCACTATTTAAAGTGAAGCATCTAAGTATCATAATTCATAGTAAAAACTATGCTATTTGGCACTTTAAATTAAAAATGTGAGAATTTAATTACAATCAAAATGAAATTTTTAGATACGCATGTTGGGAAAAACAGCACTTCATGAGGGGAATATACTGAAGCCTTTCTGCTGTCGGTGGTAAAACCAAAAACCGACAGTGCCTCGAGGCTAATAAAATAAGACAATAATGCAATACCTCAAAAATTCAAAGACTGAAATAAAAATTAATATAATGAAATAAAAAGACTAACCATTACGGCAACAGGACCAGAAACTTCTTAAAAATGTCAATAAATTCCAGATAATGAAAAATAACAAAATATTAATTTCCAAACAAGATTGTGCATTGCAGATAATCAAGATAAGAAAATATGAAATCCAATCAAAGTATTAAAATAGAATTAAACAAACATTAAGAACAAAATTTAATTTAAAAACAATAAGTCAAAAAGCATCATTGTTTTATTTTATTTTTCATTATGGGGCCTCGGGGAACAGTCGGGTTTTTGGTTTTAACACCATTTGGTTTTGGAAGCTAACGCCTCATTTAGAGCATTAATCTAAACTTTTATATCGATTGTCATTAAAAAAAAAGAAGAAAAAAAAAACAGATACTTCTAAAGGCCTATCTCAGGAAATTAATATATGAAAACAAAATTTTCTTGAAAGTTGAGGAGTTTTGCCATTCACTTAGCATAGATGAACACCTGAAAGATATTTTGTTTTGATCTCTGAAGAATATTTTGTTTGGTGTGACAAATTTTATAAATGTCAAGCACAAATATTAGAATCCTTTTTAGTTTCCTTTAGAAAAATATATTTCAGGTTTTGCAATCGCCTCTAGATATAATTGCATAGCAAGATCTTCGATGTCATTATTTTTCCATTTGACCAACTTAACGTATCAGTTTTTTTTTTACTGATTTCTGTTGACTTTACGTAGCGTTACCTTAAATCTCAGAAAATTTCAAGTTAAAGTTCTTATACTTGATACTATTTTTAAATCAAAAATTGATATCAAAATTAAAATTTGTTGAGAACACGAAAAGTATAAAAATTGCTCGAACAAAACGCAAGCACTTCACCAACTGTCAGCACTAGTTCAAGTAGTATTTACATTGCTTCGATTTTGTCTCCTGTACGCAATTGCGTATTTCAGAAATGTCAGATTTGTACTACCTCAAGCAAACATTAAAGCTTAACAGAAAATCTCTTAGTGACTCCTCAATCTTCGATAGGATTTGGAATAATTATGCTTTGGACGTTCCTCCACTAGTAAAGACTTAAAAGATCGATGCTATTTTTCATTTGGGGCAGTGGTCAGAAGTAATATACTACAAGTAGTTAAATTACTGTAGTCGCTACTTTTTTTCATAGTTTGTAGTGTAGTGTGCTACTTTTTTTAAAAAGAAGTAGTGTAGTGCGTAGTGCGATACAAAAAAAAAAACAAAAAAAAACAGTAGTTCATAGCTATTCCTGTCCCCTACTTTCAGCATTAGTTTAGTAAAGAAACACGACTCTAACGTAACTAATTTTTCGTATTTGATGGGTACAAATCTCAGTGAATCCGTCAATGGATGAAATGAAAATGACCCTTTGGCTGCAGCTGACCGTTAACAGGCATTACGTATAACTAATATTTAAACTAGCCAATACAAAAAATAGATAATGAATCATTTTGGTCACGCTTTCACATGAGAATGTACACCTGTGAAACATTGATGTTATTTCAAAGGAAGAGAACGTATTTTCGACGCACTTTATTTCTTAGAGGAAATAAAAGAGCATTAAACAATTAAAAAATTTCTAGTATTTGATAATTTCGCATTTCTTAAATTAAATATTCGCTGTCGAAAAAGGCATAAAAAGTTGAAGTTGAGATGAATAAATACAAAAAAAAAATAATGTTTTGGAATAACAAACTGGCTCATGTAAGCATGAATAAATATTTTTTTTTTAAATTATTCTCTTACATTTAATGTAAGTTCGTCTCCTTAGAGTAGTGTGAAGTAGTTACTAAATTCTAAAGTAGTTTGTAGTCACTGCATTTTAAAAAATAGTAGTTTGTAGTCAACAACATTTGTAACAAAGTAGTTGTAGTTTTAGTAAACTTCAAAAATAATGCAGCTTTTCCGACCACTGCTTTGGAGATATGTTTGTTTCCTCCAATAAAAAAGGATGAAAAAGAAAAGATAGTGAGCTTTTTTTGCTATTCTTATGTTCCCAATTTTACTTAGCGTTTGATGTAGAATTAAATGTGAAAAACTTGTCTCTTTAGATGTTAAATTGTTTACAATAATTTGATGAGTCGCATACATAATAAGACAAATATTATCTTTCTCTTTTAAAATCACACTTGAAGCTGAAGCAATTTTAACTTTTGTTAGAAAACGCATTTTTCAAAAATATCTTTAAGAGAAAATAGAGCTTTATTTTAAATTTAAGTTAAAAAGAGATATTTTTTGTATAAAGTAAAAGACTGATCAACCATGAAAAAAATATAAAAATTTTTTGTATAAATACTGGATCGTATGAGCGTTGTTGTTATTGTGTTTGATATAGTAGAATAAAATTATAAAGTAACAGAATATACAGTTTTTATAGCAATGTACTATTTGAGTTTATTCTACGATATTTGCCCTCAGTTTTTTTCTCAACTTTTTTCAATCGTTGAAACAGATGCATGGAATAAGAAATGATGACTAAAAGAGATATTGTATCATTTTATTCTTTTCTATTTTTGATTTTTTAAAAATTTATATTTCGAAACAAATAAGCGTTTAAACAATAAATATTTAAACAATCACGATAAAGCTTTTAAATTCCATTTTTACGCTTATGGCTGATCATTTCATGAAAAATTCCAAACTTCACCTTTTTTTTAAACATTATTTATCAAAATATTACACAGAGAGAAGATATTCGCCAATTAGACAAGACAGAACCGTGATGGCTTAGTAGATAAGAACGTTCGCCTTCCAATGAGGTGAACTGGGTTCAAATCCCAGCGATGGCTGATAGACACGAACTTCGCACTCGACTCGCACCGACCACAGTAATGACGTAAAAAATCCTCAGTGGTAGACGGATCATGGGTTAGAGTCCCCTTACGTCAGGCTAACCGAGGGAAGTTTTCATGGTTTTTCTCTCCATTTAACGCAAATGTGGGTTAGTTCCATCAAAAAGTCCACAAAGGTAAATTTCTCCCAATACTTAATAAAGGAATTCGCTTGTCTTCTGGATTGAGTTCGAAATTACAAGGATACAGAGTTGAAAATTAACATGATACATAACAAACCCAAAATTGTGTCCGCTGCTCAACGACGGTTAAAAGAAAAAAAATTAAGATAAGACAAGAAGACACTAACATAACAGTAACCCTTTCTCCAAAGTTACATCGACAGAAATTATTACTACTGCCTTTTGTCTTCATATGAGACAAACGAATAAGATTATATTTTTCAAATACAAAAGGAATAATTAATAAATCAAAATAATTCATTTCATTTTTATCAACCACATTAGATTTTCTTAATCAAACTAAATCCATGTGCTAGAGTTTCTAATAGATCCATTTACGAAAGAGGTAATACATGGAAAATTCAATTTAATCTGACTTTATTCACTTCTTTTTGTCTACCTCCAATATTTTTTACCGATAAGGCAAAAAAAATCTTAACTATCTATTTAAATTGATCCATTTTCGGTAGTTAATCGAATGCCTAAATTTTTTCAACATACTTTAAAAAGTTTATTTCACTGGGACTATTATCAAAAAACACTTATATTATTCGTTTCACACATATTCGTACTAAACTATTCGTTTTACAAACAAGTTTCATTTGCAAAAGATAAAGTTAAGAGCTTTACCTATAAAATAACTTTAGATTTGGGTTTCTGATTGCAAAAAATGTGCAATTCTTAGAGAAAAATCATGTTTTTTTTTTTTTTTTTTTTTTTTTTTTNAGTAATTGATTACATAGCTGTAATTATCTGTAATCAATTACAGTTGTAATCGATTACTGTAATCAACGGCCAACTCTGGTACCGACCACAGTACTGATGTAAAATATCCTCAGTGGTAGACGGATCATGGGTTAGAGAAGGCTAACCGAGGGAAGTTTTCATGGTTTTTCTCTCCATTTAACGCAAATGTGGGTTAGTTCCATCAAAAAGTCCACAAAGGTAAATTTCTCCCAATACTTAATAAAGGAATTCGCTTGTCTTCTGGATTGAGTTCGAAATTACAAGGA